GTTAGCTAGGAGCAAATGGAGGCAAATGGTTTTTAGGACTTGATGTGCTGTTGGAGTGTGAGCAAGGTAACATTTATGAAGGGATTCAGGAAAACCGGGAGCCCGGACTTGAGTCCTGGAGATGGGAAGTACAGTGCCTGCACTCTGAAGGAGGGGTGTTAATGTTGCAGTTTTATAACTGTGGTGTAAGTGCGCCTTTGGCAAGACAGTAATGGAGCGAATGATGAAAGTTTTTCTTTTTCGGGCCACCCTGCCTTGGTGGGAGACAGCCGATGTGTTAAGAATAACAATAAAAAAAATACGCAAAAAACAGTAGCATTTCTTGCATAATATAAAGCAGATAGATTAATGATTTTTTTTATAAAGCTGTAATACTGTTTAAAAAAACTGGTGAAGCCTTACATATGGAGATAAAGTGATGAAAGTTCCTAGGAGAAATTAAGTTAACCTCTGTCACATGCTTCAAAATTTACAATGCTTATTAGACTGGGAGAGATCTGCCAAGTAATATTTTGGCTTGTAGACAAGAGTACAGTGAGCTAGAGCATAAAGATCATTATAAATGTTCATAGGGAAATGCTAAAGCAGTAGAGATTATGCAGTCCCTGGAGAATGAGAGGCAAAGGGAATGAGGTTTGACTCAAGGGAAAGGCAGTTACAATCCTTGGATCAAAAGCACTTCTTCAGGAAGGCATCCCTTTCAAAGGGATTGTGAGAAAAGCATAGTAATAGGAAGAGTGCAAATCCTGCAACACTAAGTCTCATTTGTACTATTTCTAATAGAATGAAAGCAACTAAAACAGACAAGATAAGACATATTAACAGCAGGTGAGGATATAATCGTGTAGTTGAACAGTCAGTGAATTTGTTCATAGATTCATGAAAGAAGGCATCTGAAGCTTGTCAGAAATGCATAGGAAGAGGAAACAAGACAGTATAAAAATTATGGGGGGAAATAAGCCTGTAGAGTATACGAGGTAAAGTGTATAGTTATCATTATTGAAAAAGTTATGGGGGAAAGACAAAAGTTGGGTTGGTGACAAGCAAGGAGGATTTAAGATAGGTTAAGGGATGCCACATTTATGGATTTAGAAAAAGCTTATGACAAGGTGTATAGGGAAGCAACATGGTAGGTGTTGCAAATGTATTGAATAAGCAGCATATTACTAAAAGCAATTGAGGAATATGCCATAGAGTTTTTTAAGTAGATCACGAGGCTCAGGTAAGGGTATGTAGAAGAGGATTATTATTTTTCAGTAAAAGTCAGCTTTAGACAGGGATGTATATCACCATTGCTGCTTAACATATTTATAGACGGGGTTGTAAAAGAAGTACACGTAATTGCTCAATGTTAGGGAGGTGTGGGATTAAAAAATAATGGATTTGATACAAGGGTGGAGTTGTCATAGTTATTATGTATTAGGATACGTCTGCCTGAAATGCCCCAGCATAATAGTGACTTTCTTTACACTTAACTAATCAAAACTGTAAATACACATTGTAACCTTGCAAAGAAATAAAATCTTTATCTTTTTATCTTGAACAGTTCTTCGGCAGATTCTGACGGGAAGTTACAAAGGCTGGCGGATAAATTCGGGAAGGTCCAAAATTTTTCAATGTGCTACCAACAAATACACTGGTACCCAGAGCTTTGAACTGCTCCCAACTCGACCAATTATGTAAGTTTTTTTTTTTCAACAAGTCAGCCATCTCCCACCAAGGCAGGGTGACCCAAAGAGAAAGAAAATCCCCAAAAAGAAAATACTTTCATCATCATTCAACACTTTCACCTCACTCACACAATCACTGTTTTTGCAGAGGTGCTCAGAATACAACAGTTTAGAAGTATATACGTATAAAAATACACAGTATATCTCTCCAAACCGCCAGTATCCCAAACCCCTCCTTTAGAGTGCAGGCAACACTGTACTTCCCATTTCCAGGACTCAAGTCCAGTTATATAAAATAATTATGTAAGTATATTATTCAAAGTACTTTTGCAAGTGTATTTTTGAGGGTCTGAAACAGCCTAATCCAATTTAATTATTCCTTATGGGAACAAATTCATTCAGTAACGGCACTCGAACAGCCTTCTGGAACGAAGAAAGTTCAAAACTCGGGGGGTACCACTGTATATGGAATACTGCCAAGATAGAGCCAAGTTTTTAAGCTGAACGGCTTCCTGCTAGAAGTGCCAAATCAGCTAGTTTAATAGTTATGTGGGTCTATGGACCACTAGCATCAACAGCCTCGTTGACCAGGTAACAAGGAAGCCTGGCCCCCAGGCTGGGCTGCGAAGGTAGAAGAGCCCTTGTGCATAGTGACATTCTTACAAATTTCCACTTGCACTCATTATACAGTATGCTTATTGTTATGGTTACCCTCAAATAAGTGCCTGACCAGCTGGGCAGTGGTTAATACAATGAATGTGACAGGTAGTAACAGCCTGGTTGATCAGGCCTTGATCCTCCAGGCAGCCTGGTTCCAGACCAGACCACAGGGGCATTGACCCCTGGAAATGTCCTAGAAGTTGCTTTGTTCCTCAATAGTTTTTTCCATAAATTTATTAGGCCTAGCCCAAGAGAAAGAGAGAGAAAACATTAGTTTATGCACTAGTTTTTGTCATATTTCCCATCATAACCATTACCTCACATACTAACACCATTGTAATCAATTTTTATGAAATCGTGTCAAAGAATTTCAGACATACAGACAAGAAATTAATCCACAGCCTTACAGATCATGGTCAGGAAACTGTAAAAAACTAATCCTCATTGTCAGGTAATTACTTTCAAGATCAGTACAGGAGGGCCCCGCATATTCGGCACCCTCTTTTGAATGTTCCAGGTTTTTGATGGTTTTCAAGTGAACCATTGTTCATTATGTTTGGTGCTTTTTTCCACTTTTCACCGTTTTTGCACAACAAATACGTAAGGGAAGGGCAGCCGGCACTATATTTTAAGTATTATATGTGCTGTCACCGTGGTTGTTTAATATATTTATAGATGGGGTTGTAAGAGAAGTAAATGCGAGGGTCTTGGCAAGAGGCGTGGAGTTAAAAGATAAAGAATCACACACAAAGTGGGAGTTGTCACAGCTGCTCTTTGCTGATGACACTGTGCTCTTGGGAGATTCTGAAGAGAAGTTGCAGAGATTGGTGGATGAATTTGGTAGGGTGTGCAAAAGAAGAAAATTAAAGGTGAATACAGGAAAGAGTAAGGTTATGAGGATAACAAAAAGATTAGGTGATGAAAGATTGAATATCAGATTGGAGGGAGAGAGTATGGAGGAGGTGAACGTATTCAGATATTTGGGAGTGGACGTGTCAGCGGATGGGTCTATGAAAGATGAGGTGAATCATAGAATTGATGAGGGAAAAAGAGTGAGTGGTGCACTTAGGAGTCTGTGGAGACAAAGAACTTTGTCCTTGGAGGCAAAGAGGGGAATGTATGAGAGTATAGTTTTACCAACGCTCTTATATGGGTGTGAAGCGTGGGTGATGAATGTTTGCAGCGAGGAGAAGGCTGGAGGCAGTGGAGATGTCATGTCTGAGGGCAATGTGTGGTGTGAATATAATGCAGAGAATTCGTAGTTTGGAAGTTAGGAGGAGGTGCGGGATTACCAAAACTGTTGTCCAGAGGGCTGAGGAAGGGTTGTTGAGGTGGTTCGGACATGTGGGAGAGAATGGAGCGAAACAGAATGACTTCAAGAGTGTATCAGTCTGTAGTGGAAGGAAGGCGGGGTAGGGGTCGGCCTAGGAAGGGTTGGAGGGAGGGGTAAAGGAGGTTTTGTGTGCGAGGGGCTTGGACTTCCAGCAGGCATGCGTGAGCGTGTTTGATAGGAGTGAATGGAGACAAATGGTTTTTAATACTTGACGTGCTGTTGGAGTGTGAGCAAAGTAACATTTATGAAGGGATTCAGGGAAACCGGCAGGCCGGACTTGAGTCCTGGAGATGGGAAGTACAGTGCCTGCACTCTGAAGGAGGGGTGTTAATGTTGCAGTTTAAAAACTGTAGTGTAAAGCACCCTTCTGGCAAGACAGTGATGGAGTGAATGATGGTGAAAGTTTTTCTTTTTCGGGCCACCCTGCCTTGGTGGGAATCGGCCGGTGTGATAATAAATAAAAAAAAAAAATGTGCTGTGTATTTATTTAACTCTTGTATCTGTTTTTATGCCTAGATGTATTGAGCACTTAATGTATGATACTGTAAACATGTTATCAGGCTTTTTAGATGCATTCGATATCAAAAAACTGTTCTTTTCCACCCGCCGGCAATTTTCGCTGATCGTCGGGGGTCACAAACACAACAGCTGTAGAAACGGGACACTCTTGTATAAAGAAAGATTTCCAAAATCATATTTTTTATGCCTACGTTGCAATTTCATTAAAATGATATACCATTATTTTATTAATAAATTAGGAAAGCCACCAGTGCACCTGAAATCAACTTTTGAACAATTAGGTGTTGAATCAAAGTTGTCCTGAAAAATTTAAACTTAACCCTCAAAAGCATTACAATAAGCTCAAGGCAGTCCCAGAGGCATGCAAAGCAACTTTATCCACATGGATAAGTGCAGACCAATTTTTGTAACAAAGGTGCATATAAAAGATGGCGTCTGTTTGCTTTCTGTTTGTACCATACACTATTTTGGCAATGCTATTAAAAAACAATACCCTAATATACACGTAGCTATATCAGGCCTAAAAAGAGCCAAAGGAAAACACTATACTGCACCTTATCTACGACATTTAAAACTGATACATTATAATCATGGGGAAGTGTCAAGCCTCTGGGGAATGGGAGGTACTGTAATCAGGTTCGATCCAAGGAAGAAAGATGCTCCAATTTCTTGGATGAAGAGCCCTTTACCAGCATGAAGATAACATCCTAACTCCTTGAAGATTCATACTGTACTGCATGGATATAAAATTGAGGCGTTCATACTCAGCTGTCTAAATTTGCTGCCTCTCTCCATGAATAATATATTTCAATACTCACCTGACCATTATTATCCACCTTTCCTGATTTTCTTTTCTTTGCTGATCCCTGGGCACTACTGTCTCTTTTTCTCTTCCCAGGCGTTTCTGGTCTCACCATCACACTTTCAACACCAGCCGTAGCTGCTTGTACTTTCGCCATGAAGACCTTTTGCTTAGCAGCAAATTCTGGGTTATCTCTACTTCGTGTGGATCTTGTGGTTGTAGGGGTGTTGGACGCTGAGTGATTGTTACGGAGACTAGACTTGTCTGACATGGATGGGGTTTCTGAGCCTGCCTCTGACATCGCATCGCGTTCACTTCCTGTGTGTGATCCCATGTCGCTAAGATTATCATCTTCCTCCGCAATAGTGTCTTGAGTAAGCGGTGTCGAGTCATGTTCTGCCTTTAATTCCGACATCGTACTGCAAATTACTTGACAGCTGCCGTCTGTACCTGGAATATATAAATCACAGTAATAACAAAATCACACCTTGAATACACAAAATATTAAAAGGTAAACAATAGAAATAAGAGTAACTAAGAAAGGCAAGTACTATAAACTGTATGTAACGCCTGAGAAAAGTGCTGATGCCCTAACAAAATACAGTGGACCCCCGGTTAACGATATTTTTTCACTCCAGAAGTATGTTCAGGTGCCAGTACTGACCGAATTTGTTCCCATAAGGAATATTGTGAAGTAGATTAGGCCATTTCAGACCCCCAAACATACACGTACAAACGCACTTACATAATTGGTCGCATTCGGAGGTGATCGTTATGCGGGGGTCCACTGTACTGCACATTTAAAACAGTAATTAAACATATACTACAATATTTATCACCCCTCTGTTTACCCCTATCGCATGTGTCAGTGAACACAGATTAATACTGTTCTTGACACTAGCTATTGTCATGGAAAGCTCTAAACCCCTGGGTCATTCAGCATGGTAAGGATACTGAGGGCAATAAGCAAAAGCGTGGTGAGGTTGAGCACACGGGCAAAAAGACAGTCACTGCTGTAAATCAGCTTCTTAAAAATTAATAAAAAGTCCCTGGTGGGCAAAAAATTTTCTCAATAAATTGCCATAAACTGCACATTGTGTCTTATTAACATACTTATCAGTACATTCTACCATTATCAGGGTGGTGCATTAGTCTAAAACAAAGTCTGTGCACACACACTCAAAAACAGACCTGACAACAGAATCTCTAAGTTTGGCATTTTGAGTAAACAATCATGACAAGTTTAGCAACAAAACCTTAAAGTGTTTTGCAAAAGAAATTGCAGAATGTACTATTATTTATTAAAGACTTTGCATCAATAAAGTTTAACTATACAAATTCAACAAAAAAGTAGTTCCTTTTAGTTTTATCCCGAATATACTGAGATGACGACAATGGCAAGAAACGTGTATAGCTCACTTTGTACCAATATAAAATAGCAACTAACACATTCTGCTTGTTACAAAAGGTTAACCCTTGTTACACTAACTGTGGTTATAGCATGTTGCCCACATGAGTTTAGGAACCTTTACCAATTTAACTGTTAAAGTCTTGCCAATTTTGTTAACTCGGCTGAAAATCTTGAATCCCATGCATGTTTGAAGAGCTTAACACTTATATAACTCCCAAACTTACCCTCACATTTGACATTATTACTGTATATTCATGGAAAGCAGCAAACCCTTGAGGGTCACTCAATGTTATGTGACAGGATGAAAGATGTTAGAGGGAAAGATGTGGAGGTACTGAGAGAACACTGGCAAAGGAGGGAGGGGAGGTCCCAGATCATATAGCAAATTGGTCTCAGTTAAGTAATCACATATAGTCCTGTGTCTGGCATTAAGGTTGGACCAACTCTGAGTTAACAACATCCTGGGAAGGGGTCAGTTTGGTACACTACAAATAGGAAAGAGGACTGTAGTTTTATTATGCATAAACTGTACCACATAACTTTCTGGACTGTTTACAGTAGCCATCATAAATGCAGGGAAGGTCAGGCAGTGTGCAAATTCTTCTCTCTAGTATGGGTATTTGTAATTAAATTTAAAAACTCTGCCTTGTTAAATTCTATAAAGGTTGCAATTAGAGAACCACAAAAATGATAATCTTTTTGCTTGTGTATAAAACATCTCATTTCAGTCCTCTAGCATAATTAATTTTTTTTTTGTATAAAGGTTTTATATAACAATTTATAGGTATAATTTAACCTAGGATAATGCAATAGATGAAAAAAATTATATATACATATATATACATGGAGGGTCTTTGCACCAAGGTTCTCTACTCTTAGTGTTCACACAAACTATTTTTTACTGCATCAAGCCACAATCTTTTCATCTCTATTGATTCAAGGAAATAGTACTCTCCAGATACCGTATTACTGGGATACACCAGATTCAAATGACTACTGCAATCCAATATGTTTTAATAGACTGCCCTGTTCAGCATAATACATGAACTTAATTCAATAATATGCTTACACTGTCTGCCCTTTAAAAAAAAAAAACTCACCTTAAACACAGTTCTTTACTAAAACAGTTTAAATGCACTATAAGTTCCTTCTCTCACCCTTGTGCTCTCCCTCCATGCTTCTGCCTTCTTCAGTACTGAATAACCCACACAGGTAAGCTTTCTGTGAATAATAATGAGAGTAATAAAAACAAAAGTGGGTAAAACAATAAAAATAATAAATAATTTCATAGCAACTTGCTCAAATTATTCGCACAAAAAAGGTCAACCAGTTTAAGCGGCAAGTCTCAAACTATTAATTTAGACGGTAATTAGTGAACTGGTTGCTTGATATAGTCTTTACGTTTTTAGTAGCAGCCTATGAGACACCAATCACCTTTACACAACTACCGCAGTGCATCATACATTGCAGGTTCCCATGGCAGTGTGCACAACTCTCTCTGGATTGATGGTAACTAATTTAATGACTAGATAAAAAACTTAAAAAAAAAAAAAAAAAAAAATCTCAACTTAAAAACCCAGTAACTAGATTATAAACTTACTTCAGTATCAGGTCTATACTACATATATCTTGAAATCTACAGCAATATCTAAATGAAGAGAATAATTATAAGTACAACTGTTAAATATTAATAGAAGGACACAACAGGCCACCACCACATCCTGCATTACTATACAGTACTGTTACATCATATAAAAAAAGTGAAAGAATAACAGAATGTCAGGATTAAAAATTTATCCAAAGAAATTATAAGAGCCAAGGACAAGCCAATTTTCTGTTAATCAAAGTTAAAAATTCAGACTTCATATCAGCTGTTATACTGTCCAGTACATGTTTACAGCACAGTAATGGAAGAAATCACTATACTGAACTATACTGCCTTTTCAAATCTCTAAATGCCATAACTCAAAATTAATACCAAATTTGCATTAAATTAATGCCCATAACACCTACTGACAACTCTAATAAACACTATAATTCTTGTAAATCAAATTGTATTTTGTTTTACGCACAAGGCTTCACATAACGCACCAATTTTTACTTTATTAATACTGCCTATGATATGTTCTATTGAGAATTTACGTATGTATATAGTATATAGTACATTGTGACTTTGTCAATGGTCCAAGTCGGACCGAAACGTCATCGTAAGCTTCTCTCTTTTATGTGCGGGTTATTTGTGTATTGGACTCCAAGTGAGCAATAAAGTAGGAAGTGTAGAATAGACCCGGTGAAAAGCAGCAGAGCTGCAGGAAGAAAAATAGAAGACTTTTAAAATCTGGGAAACTCGACTATTCAACCTGCTACCATAACCTGCTGTAGCAAGTGTAGATGTATATTCAAGAGGAAACTGGATCATACCTCTGCTGTGCCATATTAACCAGGCTGTGATGGATACACAGACTGGCAGGCCACAAACAATCTGGTTAACCAGGCAATCAACAAGAAAGTCTGACCCCAGGCAAGACCAAGAGAGTAAGAATACTCTTAACAAGTTACGTGCATATCATGCAGGCAAATCACAGAGAAATCCAATAAGCATGTTGTATTTAACCATCTCCCAACCAAGATTACATATAATTCCAAATATAATACAGTGGACCCCCGCATAACGATCACCTCCGAATGCGACCAATTATGTAAGTGTATTTATGTAAGTGTGTTTGTACATGTATGTTTGGGGGTCTGAAATGGACTAATCTACTTCACAATATTCCTTATGGGAACAAATTCAGTCAGTACTGGCACCTGAACATACTTCTGGAGTGAAAAAATATCGTTAACCGGGGGTCCACTGTACATTATTACATTAAGTCCTTAAAATGTCCTATGTAGATGATATGCCTTAAAATATAAAAAGTGCTGTATTTTTTCATAAATAACTCTTGGAGTCTCTCTCAATTTTGTCTTGACAGTGGCTAGTTCAAGAATTTCAACTTGGTAAAAAAATCCATGTGCTTATTACCCATAAAGACTCTTCCATACTAAATGACTGGAAAAATGATGCAATACACCTGAAATTCTTACCCACTGTTTGGCACTTGAACTAACTTAATTAAGAAGTTACAGCAATATATTACAACAATGAAGATCCCAAAAGAAATAGTCAATGACTACTTCAAAATGCTTGCATCATTTATTCCTATAACAATTATGTACTAAATTCACTGAAAATTTATAATAGTCTGTGAAATTATAGCTTATTTTTTTAAGTTACAATATATAACATATGACTAATTTACAAAAAAAGTACTTATTATCATAGTAGTAATGTTATGTTAATAATGTTATGATTATTATTTACTGAAAGCTATTATCACCTTTAATAATAATTACCATTCATAATCTATCACTATCTATAATCATTATCCCTATTCATAAATCCCTACTGGGTATATAATCATTATTATGATTATTAATTTTGCATTGGTTCCATATAAATTATAACTACAATAATATTGTTAGTCATATTGTGAGAGCTAAACCTGTAGGGTAAGTAAGCTTATTCTATTATACACAAATACAGTTACATAGATTATTATACAAAACAGCACATGTGTAGAGATCCCAGGATAACCCAAAAAAGTTCGAGTGATTTATTTCCATTGGTGTCATACAACTGCTGGAGAAAGGCGAGAGGATTAAACCTGACCCAGAGTCATTATTAGTATGTTTATTTAGGTACAGGTATACATAAATAATTACCCAATTATCATACATGAAGCAATAGGTGCAAATTACCTAGGATAACCCAAAAGTCAAAATGACTTATTTCCACTGGAGTCTTTTGTAAATTAATCAAATCCTAATAATTTTTCATAGTCAATATTATTAAACCAATAATATAATTGTACTTATATCAGGCAATTTATTAATTACAAGATAAACTACTCATTAAGTATCGACCCCAATGGAAATTCAAGGATCCTATGGAAATACATCAGTCTTACTTTCTTTGGGTTATCATAGGTAATTTACACACACGTTAAACTATGCGTGACAATTGAACTTATGTGTACATGTACCTAAATATACTCATTAATGTTTGTGGAGATTTAAAGAGTTTTTAAAGGTGAAAATTAAGTGTTTTATGTATTTGCAAAATCCTTAAGAGAGACAAGTTACTACTGTAACGGTATATAAATTATACCTGAGCTGACATAAAACAGGAATACTCATAATGACTTTTATAATGCAATCCTACAATAGCAATACAATATAATGTATTTTATAATACAATCCTACAACAGCAATACAGCATAAATACATTATATTTAAACTAATGCGAGCAGAAAAAGCCTAAGTGCTATAAACCTTAATTTTTAATCTGAAAGAATATAATTTTAATAAATCTGCCATTTACTGCATATGATTATCTCAAGATATATTTACCGGTGATTATAAAATACAACTTTAGTAATTTTAAATACTAATACCTAGATATTCTAGTAATTTTTATTGATGTAGATGTGGAGACATAAAAACTAAGTGACTTTGACTTTCATTAGAGTTATCCTAGATAATTTACACATATTAAACTATGTATGATAATTGTAATTATGTATACCTGTACCTAAATAAACTTACTAAACATTTGTGATATAGTGTTAAATTACAAACTAAGAAACCTTGTAAGTTATTATTACTCATGTATAAGTTCAATGTTAATTATTTTAACATTATAATCACGGGAGAACGCTAAACCCGTATTATAACATACACCATTTTACTTAGATTTGTATTTAGGCAATTACAGTACATCATTATAATCAAAATGATGCGCTAAACCTACAAGGGTTATACAGCGGTTACAGTATATTAATATAATTGTCCTTAATAGTTTGACAGTGGTTATATTGTAGTCATTATAATCATGGAGGAGCGCTAAACCCGTAGGATTATACAGCGCCTGTGTGGGGGGGATGATGGAAGGTATTCAGGGTTAATTTAGGGAGCTGGAACACTGATCCAGTTCCCTAGATCAAGAGCCCTCAGCATCAAGGAACCTTCCATGAGGGGCTATGATGACTTAACCTAAAATATTCATACAATACCTAGAAAAAAATACAATTCCGTTGGGGTTAAAAATATATTTATAAATTGACATTACCAGAAAACCTAGATAATTTTTCATAGGCCTAAGCCAAAAAAAAAACAGAAAAAAAAACACAAAGGGGGCATTAAACCTGATTAAAACTTAAGTATGAGAATAAATGTGAATATATAGGAGTTAATTATTATTGTTTAAACTTAAATAATGATAAAACATGAGATAAATAACAGGAGACATGATGGTAGGAAAAATTATGAAGTGTCAAGCGTTGTGGTGGAGACGTTGGAGGACATCACCACCTCTTGGACCATCTGAGCGGCCACCACCTGCCACCACACCATCCCCCAGCTGGTTACTGCTTCACCTTACCTTACCCCTGGGGCAAGACGTGCCCCCGGGCGCCCTGGGGGTGCTAGGGCAGCGTGGGGTCAATATGGTAGAGGTTGGAGCGGGTAGCCATTAAGGAAAAGTGTTGGTGAGGGTCTCTCCCTCACTGCTCCCCCCCACAATGTGGGACCCTCGCCAACACCGCCTCCCACACACTCCCCCCCCCAAACCCCACCACTAATCCAGGCCTAAGGTATCCATAGGCCTATTCCAAAAGCGCAATACATCCAGACGCACCTGGGAGAGGGATAAGTTATCTTGTAAGAGGAGTGAGGAAGGACGCGCGTCCGTCCGCCATCATAACCCTGGCGTACTGAGCGCTCTCCTTGCCGAGCACTCCCCGCACTGCGCGCCATAACGTCGCTTCTCCCGTACTAACACTCGCGACTCTCGTCCTTATGCTGTCGCAGCCGCGCGCCCTCCCTCGCCGCTTCGATCTCCACTAACCTACAGATGACACCAGAGTCAAGGCGACTTATTATATACTTGATAATCTCCTCATATCGCTTTCTTATATATATTGTACCTATTTTATCTCGTTCTTGCAATGGGGAAGGTCCCTGGGAAGTCGCTATAATGGATTTAATGGCACATCTGGGCCTTAAATGGGCCAAAGTGAGAGGCCTTGGCGACCCTGTCTCCTCTGGGGTGAAAGAAAAGGAGCAAAATCATGTTTTGTTGTGAGTTTAATCCCCACGAGGTACATTGGTGGACTATAATGTGTGTTGGGTAGGCAGTCAGTCTATGTCTGACACTGTATATTCATTTTCTTGTAGTCATTCCAGCGGGGAGAGTGAAGTAACTCGGGGCATCTCAATGAACAATGGCTGGGGGATAATGTGTGTGTTTCTTGCTCCAAATGATCACGGGGGACTTATATTAACACTATCAATGTCTGTGTTGCTCCTCTAACTCTTCTACGCCCAAAAGACCTGATTATAAAACCATTCAGTGGGCACCATTAGACCAGAAAGTATTTTTAACTGGTGACTTAATAAGGAGGGGCTTAAGACCAAGCAAAGAAGGCACTGACACACAACAGGAAGCAGCGATTTAAATAACCCTCATTTTCTTGGCTCTAACAGAAGGCATGTTATCCTGGTAATGTGTACCTTGGGTCAGTGTAATCAGGGTTAATGGCCAGCCTTCAGTGTTACACGTGTGGGGGGAGGGACCATTGATCACAGTGTAGGCGTCGGGGGTCACATATCTGCCTCATGTCTGTCAGGATTCCTTGCTATTACCTGCACGTGATCTTTCTGTCTAGTTTTTTGGGTGTGATAATTTCACTATACTTGTAACAACATGACAGGATATGTGTGAGTTATTGATAGATTTATGAAAGATATACACCGGTATATGTCACTATATACAAGGTGTATATACACCAATATATACCAAAAGGAATGTATATATTCTAGCCCCTTAAAAATAGTCGTGAGGTCAGTCGACCTAAAACCAACGAACTAGGTATAATTACTTTCCTTAACACCACCAGTTTTATATACGAATCATCTAAACAGGACTAATAGGCCTATAGAACTATATTCAAACAGATAAAAAAAAGTCAATGTGACTATATACAAAATTGCCAACTGACTGTCATGTTCAGACCTATTTAGTGGCAGCAAAATACGTGTCTAACCCAGCACAATAATGCCTTTATTTACTACCAGTACATGTACAAGGTATACCAGTACATGTACAAGGTATACCAGTACATGTACAAGGTATACAAGTACATGTACAAGGTATACAAGTACATGTACAAGGTATACAAGTACATGTACAAGGTATACAAGTACATGTACAAGGTATACAAGTTACATGTACAAGGTTATACTAGTACATGTACAAGGTATACTAGTACATGTACAAGGTATACAAGTACATGTACAAGGTATACCAGTACATGTACAGGTATAACCAGTACATGTACAAGGTGTACCAGTACATGTACAAGGTATACCAGTACATGTACAGGTATACCAGTACATGTACAAGGTTATACAAGTACATGTACAAGGTATACCAGTACATGTACAAGGTATACAAGTACATGTACAAGGTATACCAGTACATGTACAAGGTATACAAGAACATGTACAAAGTACAGAAGTACACGTACAAGGTATAAAAGTACATATACAAGGTATACAAGTACATGTACAAGATATACAAGCACATGTACAAGGTATACAAGTACATGTACAAGGTATACAAGTACATATACAAGGTATACAAGTACATGTGCAAGGTATAACAAGTACATTACAAGGTATACAAGTACATGTACAAGGTATACAAGTACACGTACAAGGTATACAAGTACATGTACAAGGTATACAAGTACATTAAAGGTATACCAGTACATGTACAAGGTATACAAGTACATGTACAAGGTATACAAGTACATGTACAAGGTATACTAGTACATGTACAAGGTATACAAGTACATGTACAAGGTATACAAGTACATGTACAAGGTATACAGTACATGTACAAGGTATACCAGTACATGTACAAGGTATACCAGTACATGTACAAGGTATACCAGTACATGTACAAGGTTATACAAGTACATGTACAAGGTATACCAGTACATGTACAAGGTATACAAGTACATGTACAAAGTATACAAGTACACGTACAAGGTATACAAGTACATGTACAAGGTATACAAGTACATGTACAAGGTATACAAGTACATGCACAAGGTATACAAGTACATGTACAAGGTATACAAGTACATATACAAGGTATACAAGTACATGTGCAAGGTATACAAGTACATGTACAAGGTATACAAGTACATATACAAGGTATACAAGTACATGTGCAAGGTATACAAGTACATATACAATTCAATTCAATTCAATTCAAAGTTTATTCTCTATAAGGATTACAATGCTGAGTTTACAGAAATTTGGTTATTGTTTGGTTTACATGTAGTAAAATTGTGATTACAGAGTGTACCACTAGAACGCTTAGCATGACTAGGCATTTCGGGCATACTTAGTTTTATTCTTAATTGTAAAATATTACAAATTATGAGGTAAGTTGGTATTATGGCTAAGTGGACTAAATACTAGTTTTTTGAGTTTAGCAAAGTGAAGTTTTTTTTGGCACAGTACATAGTTCAGTATTGGAGTATAAAGGGATTCATTATTTTAAGACTGAGATTAATATTTCTGTTCCTGTTTAGGGTAAAATGAGTGAGTGAGTGTAAGTGTAAACCAGGTGGTTTTCGGTAGTTAGTTGACGGGGTGTATCAGGGAGTAAGATGTTTTCTAATGGGAGTTTTAAGGTATGAAGGTGTTGAGTTCTAGAGTTCTCAGTTAGGGGATTCCCCCATTTTAGGGCCCTTTTAAAACATTGAATTTTTGTAAAAGTTTGTCGGACCGGGGGAATGTCGAAGATGTTTGTTTTTGGTGTTATGCCTGTGGGTTCTGTCACAACTATCAAAAAAGCGTTTTTAGGTCAAGGTTGAAAATTTGGTTTAAGGCCTGTAGATTAGATTGCACATATAAGTGTGGATTATGAACTGGGAGTAAGTTTAGATCTTTGAAAGTGGGGGGGTGTTGCCAGGGATGGGATTTGTGATTATTCTTACTGCAGCTTTTTGTTGGGTTTTGTTGGCTTTAGGGTTTTTTGCTGCAGTTTATCCCCCCGCACAATACCTGGGGAGGTATGGATAAAAAAAGTGGTGGTATGTGGAGGGGCATTTGGCGGCATATGTTTTGTATCTTGGGGAGGGTCCCAAACCGTTTTGGATACTTTTTTGGCTATATGCTGGATATGGGTGCTGAAATTCAGGTTGTTGTAAAGGTATAGCCTAGGAATTTTCCCCCATTTTTTCTGGAAAATTGAGTGTTGTCAATCTTAATGTTAATTTGGCATCTCCTTGCTCTGCTACCAAACATAATAGTAGGTTTTGTCAGTTTTTAAGCGTAAGTTTATTGGCTGTCATCCCAAGTGATATTTTTAATCAGCTCCTCATTCACAATGGTGTTGAGGGTGGCAAGATTAGGGTGAGAGATGACATAAGTCGTGCATCAGCAAGGAATGGGTTTTTTAGGTGGGTTTGGGTACTTTTTGGGAAAGGGCATTGATGTATATGAGGAAGAGCAGGGGACCAAGGACACTTCCCTGCGGAAACTCCAGTATCAAGTGGGCCCTGTTGCTGATGCTGTGTCTTTAATGGTGGGCGTACTGATACCTATTAGTAATGTATACAAGTACATGTACAAGGTATACAAGTACCCTGTACAAGGTATACAAGTACTGTACAAGGGATACAGGTACATGTTTCAAGTATACCAGGACATGTACAAGGTATACAAGTACATGTAGAAGATATACAAGTACAAGTACAAGGTATACAAGTACATGTACAAGGTATACAAGTACATATACAAGGTAACAAGTACATGTGCAAGGTATACAAGTACATATAAAAAGGTATAAAGTACATGTACAAGGTATACAAGTACATGTACCAACGTATACAAGTACATGTAAAAGGTATACCAATACATGTAACAGGTAACAAGTACATGTACAAGGCATTACAAGTACATGTACAAGGTATACAAGTAAAATGGAAAAAACCTTGGTAATAAATACCCACAAGTTGGTTTTAAAAGACACGTAAGCAAACAGTGATCAAGGTTTCCCAGGCCCCGAAAGTTTTCTTAAAATAGTTATAGTGTTTGTTTACGTGTCTTTCAAAAACCAAAAAGTACAGTAAAAGGTTTACCAAATACTGACAAGGTGTCCCATCATTACAAGGTATCAAGTAAAGTTAAGGTAACAAGTACATGTAAAAGGATACCAGTACATGACAAGGTAACCAGTAAAGACAAAGGTTTACAAGACTTTAAAAAGGTATACCATACATGTACAATTATAAAAGTACAGTACAAATTAACAAGTACAGTACAAGGTAAAAACAATACAAATACAAGGTATACAAGAAACATTTTCAAGGTAACAAACATGTACAAGGTATACAAGTACAGTAAAAGGTATACAAGACATGAAAAGGGGAAACAAACAAAAAAACCCCCCCCCCCCCCCCCCCCAAAAAAGGTACACAATACGTGTAAAAGGGGCTACAAGTACATGTAAAAGGGCAACTAGTACAGTACAAGGTATACAAACATGTACAAGGTATACAAGTACATGTACAAGGTATAAAAGTCATTTGAAGGTAACAAGTACTATACAAGGTATAAAGTACATGTAAAGGTATACAATACAGTACAAGGTATAAAATACATGTAAAACGTATCCCAAAATGTAAAAGGACACAATAGGTACAAGGCATACAAGTAATGTACAAGGTATACTATACATGTACAAGGTAA